GTGGCGGTGGCGGAGGAGGAGGAGTGGGGCTCACGAACACTGGTGTTCTGCCTGTTGCTGGTGACTGAGGACGATTTTCTACCAAGCCAGTAGTAGAACTGAAACATCCAATACAACAAAGTTGTTAGAGCTGGAGAGTGGAAAAAATAGTAATAGATTCACTTCCGCAACTTAAGAATATTGAACACTGGGCATTAAAGAGCATTATGTACTATGATGATTTCATGGTATTCATACCTCATATACAAAGGAATCTAATTCTCAGTATGGAACATGCAGTAGTCTTCCAACAGACCTTTGCTCAGATTCAGCTATTAACCGAGTTTATGCTCTTATACAAAGCTGTATCTTTATCAAAGGTTTCCTAGATTAGTATAATTCTCCCCTCCCATCCCTAAGTAAATCCAAATTATTCTTCTGAAGTAAGGGAACTAGTGGTTGATTAACGGCTTTGATTCACAGAACTTTAAAAACAAAACAAAACAGTACAAGCAATGAGGATGAGTTACATTTTAAATACATATTTAAGGCTTGATGACAAGATGAGTGAGGCTAATACCAAAGGTCATCAATTCTGTGTACAGAGAGGTATATTTATAGGCTAGATACTCATCATAGTGCAATGAATAGGTGAATTGAAGAAAACAGAAGGGAACAGTAAAATTATTTTCCTGAAAGACCACTAGAGGATTTCTTTCAGCTGTTGTGGAAAATTAATCTAAAGAGTTATGTATTTCTGTGTATAATCTCCTGAACAGTAAAAAGACATTCTTTTCAACAGACTAACATCTTGCTAATGTTACAACTGTGTCTGAATTAACTGTTCTCTATTCCAAGTTGTATGTACCTGACCATAAAGTAAGATTTTGGGTATAAAACAACTGCGGACTGACAACCAAAGCCTCGCTCTAGAAAATCCTCTAAGTATGTATCCAGTTCTGGAAAGGCACAGAGCAACAGAAAATAAAAACACTTGGGGGAAGGGGAAAACAAAAGGGCAGTTGCAATTTAGCAAATGTGATGAATATGAAGTTTTGACAGCTGACTGTCTCACTGTGATGCCATGTATTCTTCCTTTTGTGTAGGCTGAAACACAGCTCAGTTGTACAAATTTCAGGTTTTCAAATTTCCAAAATTCCAAAGATAAATCCTGAGGTTCCAACATCTTTCACAGAAATGTTTTTCCATACATTTATTTGTCTTGCCATTTAATTCGGAAGGCGACATAGTCGCAATATTAATGGCAAGGTGAGGCCCGTCTCCACAATGGCACCCTACGGGGTTTAGATGGCAGCCTTTCTCTTCAACTCCTGTGTGGCCCTGCAGCTGCAGATGCGTCAGGGCTGTGGACTGACATAGCCCCTAGGATGTGAGTACTGCCTGCGCTGCATGGAAATAATACTAATGACTATTAGTGGGGTGGTGGAAAACTAAAACTCCCCAGTAAATCTGCATGTGGCTTGACTACTTCGTACCTAACACAAGGAGGCCCAGGTTTCACATCTCCTGCTCCATGCATTGGAGGTGGCGGTGGTGGTTCATTTGGTCTGACCAACACTCGCTCCTCGGCTCTGTTCAGAAGTTCAGACATCTGGCTATAGGGTAATGCAGAAAGCGAATATGATCCATCCATATGGTCCACATATGCTTGAGATCTGTAGGAAAATAGTGAAAAATGACCCAACGTAACCTTGAATAAAAAGTAAGTATTAGTGCCCTCAGCTACTGCTCTATACTTCAGTTTGATTTCTGAATTCAAGTATCTTCTCTGCACCAATGCTGCATGTTGTACTTCATGGCTTTTTAATATTTTATCCCACTTTTGATGCCATTCCTTCTAGCAGCTCAAGGTTTTTAATGATTCTGACAGGTGTATCGACTAATTCTACAGTATGTGTGTGATCTTAGTGTTTATTAGTCACATTATTTTAAGTAATAACAGACACAAATACGCATATACCAGGGTGCATTATGAAACAGACATTATACTCAGTGATGGTGTCTGCTCCTCAATCCCTACATATATGCAACCATATTCTTTTACAACATTCATGAAACATCCATTGATGTTAGAATGGTATAATTTGCAACTGAATAATTTAGGTGAACTTCTGTCAGAGGATCTATATTCCAATATATACAGAGAACTCACTACTTTAGACCTAATACTTTGTAGCTATACAACAGATATAAGGAAGATAATCTAAATATCTATTATTGAGTAGTAGCAGTAAATAAAGATGATTCAACTTACTTGTTAATGACAATTTTAGACACACCTCAAGGACCTGATCAGTTAGGAAATTTTAGTTAACTACTGAAAGATTTTGAAAGCATTTCTCTATTAAATTCAGGGGAAATGTGTTTGCAGAACACTTTCCAACAAATAAAGCAATACTCTACATTTCCACATACTGCCACTACTGTAGTTATCTAAGCCTATTAAATTCTCCAGGGGTGAAGTTCTTACTCTGTTATTCAAAAGCATGGCGCTGTTCTGTATCTCAACAACATGCTCTGCACATGTAGTGCTCCGAAGCTATACAGCATTATTCATAATTGCATTACTGGTACTGTGGTAATCAAGGTTTAGGCCAGGGTCCTGGATATAAAAGGAGTCCTGCAACAAGTGTGTCTCATGTGGAACCTGATGTACACCACAACAGAAGGACAGCAGGAAAGCAGATGTTTCTGCCAACGACTTGACACAGCAGTTTACAAAGATAAAATACTATAAAGTTGTTCCCAGAAAAATGCGAATCACCATAACTTGAGTTGTACCCTACTGAATGAAATGCACTGAGACCATTTTTTACTTTCTGAATTGAGCTAAGTTTTCTACAAGAAGGTTTTTCCATTTTTTGACAGCAAACACCATCTCCTGTCACAATTATCCCCTGTCACTATTAAGTTTGTCTGAAGGCCTTACAAAGCTAAATAAAATACTCTCTTATGGTGCTTTTGGCCAGCGAAGGATAGGGGAAAAATGTAACTATTTTTTGGAGGACAATGAATACTTTTTAATTAAAAAAAAAAAAAGCAGCCCCCCCCCAATATTACTTGTCAGACCTCTTTCCTATCAGATGTTTCTTGGCTGGTAAAATGAACTTGGTTTCGCACAAACACCAGAAGCGTAAACACAGCAGGTATTTACCATGTGAAACGCTACTTTTAGCCACCAGCAAATATGTGCTGTGAAATGAGAATCCAACAGGTTGGATTCTGTAATAGACTATAACCAGAAATGTCAATCAAATCTTGGATTTGCTCAAGAGTAAAGAGAAGCTCAGCATTCTCATCTGAGTTCCAAGCGGACATTTGTTCACATCACACCCACCATATAGTCTTGGCAGTGTCTGTTTAAGAAAAATCAAAGAGACTGGAATAATAGGTATTTTGTAGGTCAAGATTGGAATGTAGTGACACACCTGGGTGCAAGCTTGCAACAGTGACACTACACCTTCTTGAAGCTGCAGACAATGACACATCCTCAAGGATACAATGAATTCCAAGGATACATGCTACCCCTAGAAATAACAAGATAATAACTACTCCTTTAAGGACACACTAAGCATTTTAAAACTGAGTTTTGATTGAGCTAAATCAATGATTTCCAGTGCATTTCAAGAATACCAGTAGCATCTCACCATTTACCATTCCTAAAGCATGTTCACTATGTACTATGAATATCTGTACTCAATAAATGATAGAAATAATAAAAAGAAACCTTGATTCAAAATGTGAAGCTGGGCCATTAGCAACTTCAATGTGCTTATGTAAGAGGTTAGCATCATCTTCTGCGAGCTCCGGACCTTGGGCTAACTTCTGCCACTCTCTCCGTCTGTCATGAGGTGCCCTTGGCACTTTTTCTGGTTCATGAGGGCGATCTAGATTTTTCTGCTGTAGGAGAGTTGTGCAAACAAAACTGACAACTGAGACAGTGGTTTTTTTTGATTAGTTGCATTTAAACATCAGCCACAAAATAATGAGAAACAATCCCAATTCAAGCGCAAGAAAAATTTCCTTTCAGTCTAAATATGATACGTAAACCAAAAAGACTTGTAAGAGCCAGAAACTTCAGCCTAGTGGATGATTAGCTGAATAATACAGAGAAAAATAACTGTATAAGTAGCTTCTTATTCTAAGCCTGAAACAAAATTATGAATCTGACACTTACATTTAGTGTCTCTATGTATGAAATATACAGAATAATGGTGAAACAAAAAAGCAGCATTATCTCTGCAAAAGTGTTCGTTTAATTTTAAGAAAATATAAACCAAGTGCTCTATTCCTACTAATTTCTTTCTAGTTTAAGCATATCTATTAGAATGTCATTCAAGCTTTTTCACCTGTAAAATTGCCAGAATTGTGTATTATAACAAACTGTTACAGTGAAATTCTTTATTCTCACTGCATTTCTCCTTTTTGAGCCATTGCTAGAAGACTTACAAGTTTTGGCAAACCTGCTGATAGTTACATTAAGACAGCATGGAAGCTCTAGGCCCTTATATATATTTTTATTATTATTATTATTATTAAATATTTATTTGTTAAATTTGATGGAATTGAATGAATACAAGAAGTTTTAGTTGAATGAAGATGACTCTGTAAAGTTTGAATTATTATTAATTGTATAATCAAAACAGTACCATATCTGCAAGTAAACCCTTTCCAGGAAAAAATAACCAGAAGCTGTATAAAGCTAACATATATACCTTCTGCTTCCTCTTTTCTTTTCTTTTGTCCTCAGTGTCCTGCAACATTTTTTCCTTCCACAGATCAAAGAAGTATGAAGGATTGGTATAAAACTTCAAACCCTCTTTTCCATCATCCCTGAAATACAATGACGCAAACAGGGTGTACTATTTATTTGACAACACATGAACCGAAACATTAAGGCAAAGAAAAGGCATATTAAGGAATACCTAGTATCTCAGACCCTGAAATATTTTACTGAAGAACATTAAAAAGATGAACATTGACCTCCTGTGCCATCATTCTTTACTATCTTTGCTTGTATTCAAGGTCCTGATTTTAGAAAAGTAACTTTAACACAAGCTGTAGATAAAAAAAGAGTATCATAAATCAGAGAACTCCCATTTCAATGACTCAAATGTCACTCTTAAAATAATGAGCAAATTTGTGTGGCTGCTCCTGTTCAACTACTGATTCAAATTGACTTTGGGACAGCAAACAACATTCATTTCCATTAAAGACCTTTCTTCCTACATACTTACCTGCTTATTTTCTTCACTTCACATCCAAGAGCATTACACAGTTTGATAAATGCAGATGATAAAAATGGCTTTTTCTTACCATTGTTACACTGGTGTAAAACTTGAGCAAAGTGGAGTAAAGTTTTAATGCTTATAACGTCTTCTGCTGCCTGTATTCCTCCAGCAGCTTCACAGTTTTCTAGTGTGGCTCCTTAAATATTCAAGTGCTACTCAACATGAGCAAGTTGCCTCGATATAGCATTTCTAATACATAAAATAAGCTACAAATCGGTTTTGATTAATTTTATTTTACTAACCTGTAAGGGGTGAGAATGTTAAGTGGAGGAGGCTGTTCACAAATGTCATAAGTTTCTTGCAAAGGAATAGGCAGAGTTTTGCGGTCAAACAGCTGTTGATCTTGAATTGTGGAACTCCGGAAAGCTTTCCTCATTGTAATGTCCTGCAGTGACACTGAAAGGGAATATTGCCATTTAAAAAAACCACCAAAGATAGATAGTTTATTTAGATTAATCTGGAATTGCTTCATGCTGGTTAGAATATAAATATTAAGCATTACTACTAGTATCTTACGCATTTTACAGCAAATATAAATTCATCCAGCACTACTGCCACAGCAAGATATTGTCAGATTATGTGAAAAACATGCTTGTAATGTTCTAGCACATTATCCTCTATTTAGCTTCACAGGAAATTTTTGCTCACCTGGATAGATATCAGAACTCTCTCTCCAATGTAGTTCAACAAATTGCTTACTGTAGCTATAAAATATCATTCTGCAGTTCCAAAGTACCTAATAACATTTGCCAACTCCATTTCACAATCCTTTTGGTACTAAAAAATTACTCTCTATCTGGAGGTATAGATTTTACCCTTATACCATCAGCAAGCCAAACACTACATTCCTTGCACATAGGCAGCAGTTCTACTGAAGGCCCACTGAGATGCCAAACAGCAAATCACTTAAGCTTATGCCACTGGTATCAGTGAGTTTTAATGGGAGGTGATACTATGTTCCAACGCATGAAACTAGTCAAATGTTTTTTAATCAGACTGCTTAATTCAGGTGAGACACCTTGAGTTTTTAAGCACAGTAGTTAGGAATAATCAATTATCTTTATGTAAGATTCAAAGGAAAATAACACTAGGTGAACACAGTTGGTTAAACAGCCATTTGAAATATATTGACTTACTGCTGATAAAGCCCAAATATTTTTTTCTATTCCATAATCATTAAAATTTAGAAAAAGATTAAATGAAACTTGCACTTTTAATTCTGGAAACAGTGTACCTGTTCAGTCTCATATTTCTCTCCCTCCCTGATCTTCAATTACTACATCGCTGTGTCTCAAGGCTAACTTTGCAGCCAGTGTTAGACTTTCACTAGATAAAGCAGCAGCCCTTTCCATTGGTTTGGGCTTTTTTTTTTTTTTTAATCACAAACAATACTGAAAACAGTTTTAAGACATACTAGCAAAGAGAGTATTTTCAGCACGCGCATTTTCCCCCAATATCACTAGGGTCTTCGGCAACAGTTTTTTAAATGAGTGCATTTGTTTGAGCTGAAAGCTGCGTTTTACTCTGGTTCCTGTAACACATATGTGTACACGTACGTACATACACACACACACAGAGCTGGATTTCTATTGTACGATCACAAAGGGGCAGAAGGCAGGATTTTTTCCAGAGGGCTTGCAATTCCTGGAATGTTCTGTCTTCTTACCTAAGCGTATTGGCAGCATCCTTTGTGAGGCTAAAGATGGGATTTGTTTGGTTTTCAGTTTGGCTTTTGAAGTTTATTACAGTTGGCAAGGTTGTGTGTTCCTGGAGAAGTTTCCTCATTTTTACCCTTAGGTTCTGTTTCATTACAGTGTCTTTTATTCTTTTTAATACCTTTAATTAGCTGCTCAGAAACCTTTTTAAGTGTGTGAAAGAAGTATTATAATGTATGAATGTCAGCTAGGAGCCTCAATTTCTGCAGGTATGTTTGCAGTCATAAATAACCATATATATTTTGTAGCTGTCATGGCGTACAGGTTATTCTTTGCTGGCAAAAGGTCACAATTAGAAGAACTGAGGTTTACTTCATCTAAAAACCTAGTCTTATATTCTTTTATACTTCAGCTGTTTTTCCTTTGGCTTGTTGGTTTTACAACTCTCACCAAATGTACTTGTTCAGAGATGCTTGGCAATCCTGCAAGTCTTTAAACTGTCTGTCACTTATTGGAGACTATGCCAATAAAAACAAAAGTTAGTACACTTCTCTTTCAACCTGTGTACATTCTGAAGGCAATGAAGTAAATTAATTTATTCCAGTAAGTACAGTTCTTTGTTTTAATATTAAAATGCTCACAGTATGTGACACCATATTATTGAGAGGTACGTTGTTCTATAAACTCTTTATTAGCATTCCTTAATCCCTTCAGTGAGCAAATACTGCTGGCCTAATTAATAATCTCCATTTTCTTGTTTAAATCTCCACTTTTTGTAAACAGGTACAAGGGGATAACACACCTGAGGATAATCAATCAATCAATCCCCAACTATAAGTGTAGATTACTTTCTCTCTAAAACTAAGCTACATAGCAAAGGTCTTCATAGCAAACGTACACTGTGGAATTTCAAACAGCTAACAGCATTTGCTGTGCTGATAGCCAATGACCAGCATTCACTGAAAATCATGCCATTATTCAAAACAACTGACTATATTAGGACAACATTACTCGGGAAGTGAAAGGACGTGGCAGACAAAATACTGAGAATCATGACACTCATACAACTCGCCTACAGAGGGATCAGGTAAATCCCATGCTGCAAGCACAGCGTAATCCTCGACTGTGCACGGTTTGGCTTACAAAGCCATTTGTTTAGCTTGCCAGCTGGCTAAGAAACAGAAGCCTTGCGTGGCTTGCCACCTCAGGGGGGAGAATACGTGAAAACCTGGCTGGTCATCCAGCCACTTAGCTTTGGCTGACTGACAAACTGGCACAGCAAGGGGACAGGTCAAACAAATTGGACATATGAATTCAGGTGTGAGAAGAGATGAGACACTGAAGCAGGAGTTGGACATGCTGCAGGCATTTGACTTGATGCTGATAAATTTAAGCTTCCAGTCACCTAATTCCTAACTAGCACCACAACCTTCGTATAGCCCAAGATCCTAAATTTCATATGGATACGTTTTCCTGAAAATCCGTCTGCTATAGCACTTGTGTTTACTGCAATGAACAAAATGGGGTCTTAAATAATCTCCTTAAATGTTGAGATGTTCACAATTTAAGTTAAACATTCATCCAACAATCTGAGAAAATGCCAGTTTATCCTTAGTGTGTCTGTTGTTTGGATTGTATGAAAAGACGTATTAGATCAGCCAGTCTAACTTTCTGTACAGCACCACATTTTCCACATAATTAAAAATTATCTCTGTCAGAAAGCTAAACTACCAACCTTTTGTACATCTGGTTTTGAAAAAGAGATGCCAGTCCATTTTTATTCATAATCAACAATGAACCAGGGAAAAAAAAAAGGTATTTAAATTGCATTCTAATAAGATACAATAACTGGGTTTCTTTTAGGCTGAACTACAAATGAAATAAAAGAACACATCAGTTATATATATACATAATAACGTTTTACCTCCTGTTAAGCCTCTCATTAAACTGCAATCCCCAATTTGTAGTAAAAGTCAGGCATGGAGCACATAAACGTACCAACAGAAAGTAGCTACTTTTACATTTCAAAGATATTACATATTACATTTTATTTTACCTCACCAGAAGAAAAAAAAACCCTGTTACTAGATTTTTAAATTCTTTTAAACTCACTCCAATGTGCAATTTATGAAGTGGTTCTAGGCCAAAAAATATTGTTCTCTTAAAGGTCATAAATAAATAAATAAATAAAATATATTCCTTTTAGAAGATTGCTCTCTCAACACTCTCTGCAGAATTTCATCCTGACAACTTTTAAGACCATGAACTGACCATGAACTCTTGAATCCCACAGGTATGACTCCTTGCAGAGCTGAATGACTATGGGAAATTAAATAAAAATCACCTGGCAATTCG